GTAAATCCGTTTTAGCCTTCAATTCGGCTCAAAATCGAATAATATATTATATTAAATAATCTATTAAACAACATTTTTGTTATCTAAAGGTAAAATATCTTAACTTAAAATTTGATGTTAGAAATTAGACAAAATTAAAAATAGCATAAGTCATAAAAGGTTAAAATAAAAAAAAGGTCTTGCGTCAGTTAAAAATATATAATAATTCTGTTGAATTATTAATTTACACACATTGTAACAAATATATGAAGCAAGACATCAAAGCTGTCCTAAAATTAAAAAATAATAATAATAATCACGATGTTTTGTATCTTCTGAAAAATAGCTTTTTTGGTTTCAGAACCACCTATATTTTACATTTTACACAATAACATAAGTTTCTGTTGATTTCGATTTTGTCAAATTTTTAATCGTACCGAAAAAAAAAAAAAGTTTCTGGTGAATTGTATCCCTAATATTTGGTATACGGTAGGTGAGTTTCATCATTAGATCATATACAATGGATAGAGTAGGACAGAGCGTTATTTGGAAAATTTGTCTCCATCAATAATTGTATATGATCTAAATTCGTACCTAATTAATTGTGACTTGTAGATTCGGCTTATCGTTATAACGATTGTTAGACGTGGACTTTTGGCATAACCTAATGCTAAATATTTTGACCGGATGATCTCGAACTTAAATTTCGTTTTCGGGAGTTGATCTAACTTCCTGTGACATTTGATATGCGAGAAGAAAACATTTCAAACTGTTGTTTATATATATATATATATATATATATATATATATATATATATATTCTTAATATTATTTATATTTTGTTTTATTAATTGTTGTTCCCATATCACGGTTTAGATCATCTAGAACTAGGTATCAACATTATTAGACAGTTACTAAACTTAATACCTGAGCGGCTGGGATTATAGGTAGGACTGATAAATTGTATACTAAGTTTTTCTAACAATGTTGTGTTATCTTTGTTGTTAAACTCCACCTCTCTCTCTCTATATATATATATATATTTCCCCATAGGCGTGAAACTAAAGGGATCATGAAGGTCATGACCCCCCACCAATATTCAGATTAGGTATTTTATATTTATTTGAAAATTAATATAATTTATATAAATTGCGTTTATAAATTTGTTCGCACCGAAAACGTTTAAAACAATTAATATTTACATGCTGAAAAAAACAATAAACATATTTTTTTTACAACATAATATCATCACCTAATTATAAAACCACAATTTCTATTTAATTTCTGAAAAAAATATATCGTTTAAATTTAAGCCAATTGACGGTAATATCGTTGACAAGTAAATATAGACAGTGGCGTCATTTCAACTTTTGAGTGGGAGACAAAAGTTTTGCTCAGTCCATGATAAAACCGAAAAAAAAACTGCTCGCTAACTTATTCGTCACAATTAAATTTTCATCTCGATACAAATACCCTTCTTACATCATTTTATACTCACTATTATACGCATAACTAACCCATTTTTTTGAGGGACAACAATTATTAAAAAAATAAATACATATATATATATATATAGAGAGAGAGAGAGAGAGAGAGATACCTAAATATATTGCCTTTTAGCTACTACGTGCAAATTTAGTTTGAGGAGAATTATATCCCAATTTATGTCCTGTTATCGTTAATATGCACAGAATATCATAATATCATAAAATGAAATAACAAATGAATACGCGGACCAAAACTAGCCCGACATCAGCTCATACCCGGCCCGATAGCGGCTCGCTGATGATAATGGGGGAGGAGGACAAATGCTTCTCCTGCACCCCTCCCCCAACGAAGCCACGGAACATAAATATAAATTATAAATGAACTGGCGAAATGTTCAATATTGTTCAACGAAAAATACGATTATATTTAACTCGTAATTAAGTCTATACTTATAGCACGGCATCTGCACGCAGCCACTTATCGCAATTCCGTGTTGATATTATTTGCATATTTTTAATAAATTGTATAAAATACTATACACGACAAAAAGAATTTTACTATTTTTAATTTTATTTTGCTGTGAACTCCTGAATGCAACGTTCGTTTTTTCGTAAATCGCATAAGTAAAAAGATATCGCAAAGAAAACGTGGTGAGTGTTATTAGAATTATTCAATTTCAATTGTATGTTGAAAGTATTTAAAAATTGTTAATGGACGTGCATTGCAATAGTCCGGCCCATATCTACATTTTTAAAAAATTTCAGCATCAATATTTAGTATGAAATTAACATGACAAATTTAAAATTAAAATTATTTGCACGATATCCTTTTAACAGCTAAAACAACAATTCGATGGGCCGTTTCAATGCATAGTGTTGAATATTGAAATTTTCAAACAGCCGGTCTATCGCAACTCGCAACCTACGTGTTTAATATGAACAATCCAACATTATTTGATAGAAAAAATTATTCATATCCACTCATTACTAATTCCGAATAGATATTTGTGTACGATCTATACAAAACAATTATTAAAATATTTCCAACTATCGTTTTAGATTCTAAGCGAAGCGAGGTATAAATCGGTTTTACTATGGTGTGTGTTTTATTATTGCATTTTTAATCTAGCTGGTGCATTGAGAAAGTTAATTTTTGATTTTCACAATAAATAGGAAAAACGAGAAATTTGCGATTATTCTCTACTCTTAGGCACCTTAAAACGTGGCTTCAAGCAAACATGGGAGAGGAGCGCTTCGCAAGTGACGCTTTGCTCAATATTCACGAAAATATAGCCATAAATATTTATAAAGACATTATTTCTAAATTTGGAAAAACCGCACAAAGAGAAATAAACTCTAATATTTTATTTTGAAAATTTACAATAATTAATAATGTTCTAATTTTAGTTAATGATGTTTATACTTTCATTATTTGTTTAATGATTTATTAATTTTTTTCCATTTTGAAAAAATGACCCACCCCAAATTTTAGTTCTGAATCCACGCCTGATTCTCCACTATTGATACGTATAAACGGCCTTAAGTTATACGTATACTATAACTTTTTCTAATAACATTGGCGGCCTTTATCTTTCCGCTGTCAGTTCATTCGTGTATGGGTTTATATCTATAACAACGAAACGATAATTCGATGTAAAATATATTAAAATCTACAATATTCTTTAAAAGGTAATTAATTTGTAGAGCCTTTGATTGATTACAGTGTCCGTGAAAAAATTATTTGGGAAATTGCCCGGAATTGTACACGTGTTTCACTGTAATAATATTTTATTTTACGATTAATGTATACACAAAATTTATAAAAATAACAATTGTGAAAAATATATTTAAAAAAAAACATATACGAGAACCCACGTCGGTGTACACATAATAGTATACTACGAGTTTAAATCAATCATTATCAACTTTCACCAAAGTTAATCCTCTCCGCCCGCCTATATTGTTTACTCGTAAACAAAAATATAATACAATTCACATTTTATTTAAACACACAAAATGTTTTCTTACATATTTTATTAATATTAATCATATTGTTATTATTAGATATGACCGCTGCCAAGGCATTAAACAATAATTTTATAATACTGCAAACTCATTAGCCGTACATTATTATAGATAGGTCGTGAAAGAAATATGAAATTAAGTCTTGAAACCACGACTTAAAAATTGATTTAACTCATTTCTATTACGATTTAAAGATATCATTACGGTTATATTACTGTGCTTTAACCTTCAGCAAAGTACGCATTATTTTTTTAAATATCTAATCCACTATAGAAATGTATTCATTGTAAGTGTACTCTCTTTATCTTCTCTGACTTACCAGAACTTCAATACACTCAGCTCTGTCGACAAAACGTTTTTGAATCCGTCCCTATCACTAACAGATACTTCTGAATCAACATTTCCCATTATTTCCCGATCGTCTTTAAAATTCCGACCAACCATCGCTTTCTGGGTTCACCTCTTGGCCTTTAACCTATTGCGCCTTTGATTCGGTATTTTTTACGAGCACTTCACATGTCCAAACCAGTCTTTGCCTTTTGATAACATTAATTTTATTGCGTACGGTAGTTATTTTGCTATTCCGCGTAGCTATTTTTATTTACCACCTACGCCATGGCCCCTTTTAAAGATCGAAAACCGTACCATAATAATTTATTTCCCGTATACCCGAGATGCTGAAAATACATGGAATTAAAATTTAAATTATTCGTATCTAAAAGTACAGACACAGGCAGTAAATAACTGAAAACCGACGATGTTTGTGTATAATTTCATCTTGCTATATATCACAGAAGTCAGACAGTTTAAATATTGGACTAAATGATTAAATTTTCCAATTTAATACAATTACTCGTGACTTCTTAAATAATAAAAAAAAAAAAAATAAAAAAAAATAAACAATATCCACTCTATTACATTAGGTAATATTATTTCCGGTAATTCGAATCTTTTGACGTATACAGTAGTCACTAGCTGTACAATATCATATTTCCAAACGGAGTCCTGCTCGTATATGTATGCGAAATCGAAGATATTAGTGTACATACAGTGTGCATCGCGTCATAATGTTCGTGCGGGATTGGCGATAGTCGGGATGAGGTTGGGTATCTCGGCCGGTAATGATCGGACGAAACTAGCCGGAAAAGCGGTAGGCCGGATAAACGACGGTTGTTTATTTTACGGAGTCGTTCTGACGAGGACGCGAAGAAATATAAAAGCGACGGAGAATATAATAATCGGGGTTGTTTTTTTGTTTTTTCATCTCCCGACGAAAAGTCTGGGCAAGACTGCTTCGGGGCCCGCGCAAAAGTCGTCGAGCTTTACCCGGCGGCGCCGACACGCTCAGTAATTAACTCCTTTTGCGGTGACCGCCGGGACTCTGTGACGCGCTGTATGAACTGGCGACAGTACCGCGCCACACCCTTGCGGGTTCCGTGTGTACCTAGCTGCGTAACGCGTGCCATTATTTTATAGCGGTGACGAAATTCGTTGCGACGACGGCGGCGATCAAACGTCGCGACGGCGGCGGTACATAACCGGAAAAACAAACACGGGCGTTAAAAACAAACATTTGCCTACCTTGTTTCCCGTGGCCGACGGGCCTCTGACGTAAATGGGCACGTCCATGTCGGTGGTGGACGAGGCGAACGACGCGTCGCCCGTCCGGCTGGGCACCTGGAGCAGCTTGACGGCCTGCGCCGCCAGTTCCCTGTTGCCGTGCAACTGCAGCGGATGGTCTTCCTCGATGTACCCCACGCTGTCCGGGGACCCGTCCTCGTCGTCGTAGTACAACATTGGTCTGGGCATCCTGTTCGCGACAAACGAGAGCACAACAATTATTGTACAAATATCGGACCGTTGTTAAAAACACACTAAACTAAACGCGTGTAGTTAAACGAAAAACGTCAAGTGATTTAATTTGTATAATTGCTACAGCGAAATACGATTCTGAGCGAAGTCCGGTACAACAATATGTTTTTGAGCGCCGTAATATTTACGATTATCAACTAAATATCATATTAAAACACTATAAAAAAAAACAACACTACAGTTCTTTTTTTTTTTTTACTACTAATTACAACATGCAATGATTTTATTGTAAAATTTTCAACTATTTCTGATTGCGCAAACAAATTAAAACTCGCTAATATAAAATGGCTATAAAAATCTGGAAAATGGTTCAAATGTTTTAAACATTTTACCACGTCTAGAAAAAGCAAACACAAGTTTTTGTCGAAATTTCAAGTCTGCGAATAGTTTTAACTGAAATACGAAAAAAAAAATTGAAACTAATATAAGCATACATTTCGTAAATTTTCCCGTTCTTTCTACATTTTTTGGGGGGGTTATCTCAATTATTAAAAAAAACTATAGAGAAAACGAAAAAAAAAAATATTCTTCTTACTCACCGACTAGATTAAAAATGCAACAAAAATGATCTTTTGTCGTTTTTTTATCGGAGCAATATTTCTGATTAAAAATATAAAGCGTAAACATTTATAATAATGAAATCGTAACGCCGTAAATTTTTCATTTTTTAATTTTACGTCATTTTCCCGATTTTTTTCTAATTATTATGAAAACTACTTGGGAAATCAAAAAAAGACATTTTTGTTCGTCAACTAGATTAAAAATTCAACAAAAAAGGTCCTTCTTCTTTTATTTTACAAAACCGAACACTGGCGTACACGTACATGTTAAATGTGTACTCGTGTTTACTTGACACGCGTAAATTTACTATTAGTGTTCAGGTGTTATTCACGTGAATACACAGTGAAAATACGTGTAAAATAACGCAAAACACGTGAATATATGTGTACACGCGAGTTTAATTGCACGTGTTTTTTAACTACACGATTTTATAGATTGTCAGTGTTAATTTCACGGAGTTACATGAATAAGACGTATGCACGTGGAACAGGGAGTTCTAGTTGGATACCTCGTTGCAATTTATTAAAGTATTTTACCGAACCAATACGTGCAATACGTGTCGATACTCGAATTAAAATGTATGCGGGAGAAATTGAAAATTAGAAAGCATATTATAAATAATAGCTGTTTTGATAACTACTCATCATAAATCGCACTTAACCGAAAAAAAAAAAAATTCTAATGAGATTAATACGAGTCAGTCTAGACGAAATTAATTTCGATTTAAACGCGTAAAAGAAAAAAAAATGTCAAGACATTATTAACAACAAGTCGTGTGGCGAAACGCGAATAAAAAAATAAAAAAACCAAATGTTAAATATGTGTGAACCGCACTGCAGTTATAAAAACGATAAACATCAATTAATAAGTTGTTTGTTTTTAATATTGAGGCGATATGGTTAAAATATAATGAACGTTTTCAAATACTCATTAGGCAAATTCCTTGTTACAATCAGGAACGTTATTATAATGGAGATAGAAAAAAAAAAAACAAGAATATTTTAATCAGTTTTTGGGAAATGTTACATTTGTATAGAATATCACCTCTAATTTAAACAATTTCGAATAAAACTGGGTATTTTTTCTTCATTAAAACAGTCTTTATTTGTATCGTCTTGGATTGAAATATATGAGCAGATCAACAGAATTCGCATCAAACGAACGGCAATACGCCTAGTAACCCTAACCTACTTAACGCCTAATGTCATTGAACCTGGTATTACGAAAAAAAATAAAATAAACATATTGGATTCGAAGCGAAGCGAGGAACACACTGACGTCTTTTTTTAGTCTGTAAACAGCTTTTCTGCCAAAAATCTTGCTCCGATTAAAAAAAATTATGGAAACGTGTAGCATTTGTGATATAGTTGGCGCATTGAGGAAATTATATTTCGATTCCCATTGTCCCATTGTAAATAGTAGTTTTCTAGACGAATGCGAAAGACCGACAACGTGTTTAATCTACATAATTCTTGTCGATCTCAGGGTTACCCCGGAAACGAGGGGAAAAACACAACTAATAACACTCCCAATCAGAATCGATTTTCGTCAGAAATGATTTATTGTTGCGCACACACGTAAATTCAATAATTACTCTATACAGCACGTGTTCCGACTATCCTCCCAGAACAGTGGCACACGCATCAGCAGTATCAGTATTGTTCCTAATCGAAAAACGCGAACTCGAAATCGCAGTGTACAGTTATAATATTAGTGATTATTAGTATTTGTAGGCATAGTTCCACTATTTGAGGTGCACTTGCCTAACTTGACCTGCACGGTCCATGGGTGTCGCGCCCAAACTGCGACCACGCATATTTTTAATATATTTAAACTTAACCTATGGGTTCGTGTAATGATAGTTCAATGCTGATTTGGATTTACCTATTTTGTTCACACCTATTAATTTCCAAGACGTCGAGTTTGTCATAAAATATTATAACAATAATTTCTGTCTGCGAACATGTTTTCGACCTGTAGTATTGCTTCAATAAAAAAGACCTTTTTTGTTACGTTTTTAATCTAGTTGCTGAGTAAGTTTTTTTTTTTTTTTAAATTTTCTGAGCAATATTCAGTATAATCGTTAAAAATCGTAGGAAATACGGAAAAGTTAACGACATTGTTTTCGTTATTCGACGATTTCGGGTTTTGTTGAAAATTGCTAAAAAAAAAACATCGTAAAGAACTAAAATGTTCACAGAATACTTGTATTGGTTCTTTGTAAACAACTTTAAAATATTTTGAGTTTTGAACTATTTGTAGTAGGCAATTTACATTATCTTTTTTTTTGTTTTACTGATATTTTATGGATAAAAATGGTCCGATTAGTTTTGAAACACAAATGCTTGAAAATTTAATTCGAGGTTCATTATAAGTTGTAGTTATTTTTTAAAAAAAAAAGTTGCGTGGAATGTAGTAGTTTTTTTCATAAGCATTTAAGACTATACATTAACGAAAATCGTAAATATTATGATATTTCAAAACATGTGTGACCGAACTCGGTTCAGAATCGTATTTCGTTATCAATGGTTTATCATTGCTTACAGGTATAAATTAAATAACTTTACGTATTCTATCTTCCTTACTTCCCAACTACAACAATGGTAAACTCATCAACAGTATCAGTATTTTTTTTTAATTTTTTTTACAGATAAAAGTTGCATATTATTTTGTATGTTCGCGTAAAGGTTAATCGTAGGTAAAATTTTGTTCACGTTTCATAACTCAGTATCTATAATTAATACGCAGTCAATGAACGATTACAATTCGTGATAAATTAAATAATATAATGTAATGTAGTTATTATCATTGGGCAGTAAGTAAATACTATTGCAAAATACCAAAATGATTATACAGCTTGTCCCAAAAGCTACGTTTACCCTCCGAAGTAGTATAGATAGTATCTCTGTGACAGATTATTATACAAGTATTTTATTGCGTTTTTTACAATAATCAGTAAAACGATTCGATTCTAAGGGCATTACTTTCGGTTTTTTTTTTCGAAAATTCGAATGTTTCTAAAATAAATTTGTATGCAATTTAATTCAAAATATCCATTTCATGATCATATTATGTAAAACAGTTTAAAAATAATCCGTAATCCAATCGAGATTGATTAAATTCTCAATTTGTATTTAGCCATGATTAAGCATGCGATTTGTATTTTTCCATGCCTATAAATAGGCATCTTTACAATAACTAACTATTGTATTCTTACGAAATCAAAAACTAGATACTATGCATTAACTTGGTCGATAATCACCCAATTTTAGATTCAGAGTGGAGCTAAGGATCTATTAATTTGACTATAATGTGTTTTTATTTTTAGATTTGGAGTGTAAGCGAGAGAACCATTGGTTTTATTATAATGTGTATTTTTTTTCTGTCCGTAAACAACTTTTCGAAAAGAGATCTTGCTTCGATGTGTAAAGGATAGCACTTTTTCTGAATAATAATTGTCTCTAGTGAGTGAAATAAAACTGTCATTTTTTTATTTTAAAAAAGAGGTTTCAAAGTAATTGGAAAAATCCGGAATGAAAAGCTTAGGTAAAATGGCAAACATCTATGGCGTTACCGATTTCATTGTTTTTAATCTTTGCAAACTATGTGTATTACTAAAAATATGTTTTATTCAAAAAAAAAACCCTAAGACTTTTATTGTTTCTTGTTGGATTTAGCTGCTCTTAAAGTAAGTTGTTTTTTTTTTTTTTCTAAGTAGTTTTCATAATAAAAACCGAAAAAAATGAAAACGAACAAATTAACTACATACGCTTTCATTATATTGAATTTGTACGCATTCTATTTTCTACTATTTATATTACTCGAATAAAAAAACGACAAAAGACCTTTATTGACGACCAAGAAAGTAATTTTTTTTTCTTTGTAGATTTTTTAATAACTGAGCAAAGCCGAGAAAAACGTAGAAAAAACGGGAAAATGTACGAAAATAATGTTTTTATTAGTTTTAATTTTGTTGTTTTAATGTAATTCTGTTATAACTATTCGTAGAGACTTGAAATGTTGACAAATTTATGTTTGCTTTTTCTTTATGTGGTAAAATTTTCAGAACATTTAATCCATTTTTGAGCTATTTATAGACATTTTTTATTAGCGAGTTTTTATTTGGTATAGTTTTTATGTAGTAAAACATCATTGTTTGGTGAACAGAAATACTTGAAAATTTAACAGGCTGTTCATTATAAATTGTAGTGGTTAAAAAAAAGAAATAAACACCTTAGTAAAACCAATAGCTCGCTCGCTACGCTCGGAATCTCTTTTAGAGTGCAGTAATTTTTTTTTTTATAATTGTTAGCAAGTTTTAAAAAAAATCGTAAATATTACGCCTTTAAAAACATGTATAAACGAAATTCGCTCCGAATCGTTTTTTCGCTAGCAATGGTTTATCGTTGCTTACAGATATAAATTAATTAACCCTACGTATCCGACTTGCCACCTACAGAATACAACAGTGGCACACCCATCAGCAATATCATCTCTATTATATATATATATATTTTTTTTAAAAAACTATTAAAAAAAGTATTTAAAAAAAAAAATGGCATCACCGCAAACATAACCGTATTTAATAATATAAATTCGTCACGGAAATACTAAGGATGATTTAGGGGACATATGGGACACACTGTATATATTATTTGTACAGTTTTAAAGTTTACCTAATACATTATTACAATATATTTTGGTATTTGCAATGTTCGCTTAATTGAAATATTATTTTCGCTTTTAGCGCAGGTTTTTTTTTAAAAAATATTTTTAAACATATTAACATATCTAATATTACTCGCGATATTTAGTCGGCCTACGAAAATATTGCAAAGCCTTATCAAATAATATAACAATAGAACAGGCGCCAAGAATTGGATCCCCGAGCAGTTATACTGTTGTATACAGCGATCGAATTGTAAAAAAAAGAAAAAAAAAAAAGAGGGACGAATTATAGAATTTCAAAAAAATAAAACCTAGCCTCCCCGGCGATCATTGAACTCGATTTGCAGACGACTCGGGTAAAATATACTTCCGAACGTGTATTCGCGGATTTACAATAATAATATTTTCAGTATGTTTCGAATTGTTTTTTTTTTGGACGAAACGGAACTTTCAATGTCCAACCATCGAGCCGTAATTATGGGCACATTACAACACGTAGTCAACAGTTATTTCGTGGACGGAAAAAAAAAAAAAAAAAATCAAAACTATTGTACGAAAAACAACGAAACGAATATTTATTACGCGCGAGTAAAATTAAAAAGCCATTATACCGTTTTAAAAGTAAAAATCCGAGCGACGAATCGCCGAAAATGTATTGTATAAAAATAGAGTTTATCGATTTCCACTTAAATACGTCTATTTATAATTAGGCACATGGCATAATATATTGTCGATGTGGAAAGATAATATTGTGAAGTGAACCGTTGCAGCGCGTCAGGTTCATTTAGATTCGAGCCGAGTCAACTTTGATAAACAGAAAAAAAAAAAAAAAAAAACAATGATTTTTATTACACTAAACAGATAATGTGAAACCGCGTCGGCGTTTAAAACGCAATTTGTTTTAAGATCGTGTAGGCTTTTTGTTTTTTTTTTTTTTTTTTTTTTTTTTTTTTTTATTGCGGACGTATCTATTTGACTACATTATCTCTCGTATTATTTCGATCATTTTTAAGGAGGCGCACTCTCGCCTTATGATAAGTCTCATAGTATTATGTTGTGTATAGTATCCGCGGGGATGGTATTTCGAGACGGGAGAAAAAAAAAAAAAAACAATCACAAAACGATAGACACCCACCTAGTACTTGATGTATAATTTTCTCGATCTTCGAAATTTTATGCCACTGGGTACGTATATTACACTCGAATCCGAATTGAATAATTTCGCATCACGAACTATACGTTATACTGTAGCCGAGAACGCAAATATAATAATATATTATATTGACGGAAACGAATTAGTGTACAACATATTATTATTATAAACTGCCAGTATCGGTGCACAAATAAACAAATCGAATCGAACAGTACGAATAAACAAATTTATAATAATAATAAAAAAAAAAAAAAAAATTTTGAAATAAAGTTCGGTTTTTAACAGTTGTGTATGCCGTCACCACACTAACAAACTCGCGGTCCGTCGTAAACTACAGCAGAAAACGAATTTGTCGTACGGAAAAAAAAAAAAAAAACGAGAAAATCGGCCCGCGCCGATTCTGTATAGAACTGGCAATGGACCAGAAGATGAACCACATGGCGGTCACCGAGGGACAAAATTAGAGTAGGAAAATATGTTTGGACAACCTCGTGAAACCGTACAAATGACATTATATTATACAGGGCCGTAGAAAATCTCAAAACATACGGGAAATTCCGTAAAAACTCGCGTTTAATTTGCCCTTGACCTTTAAAAAAAAAAAATAAAAAAACATAAAAAAAAAACCAACAGGATAACAACACCCGCCTAACCGATCGAAAAAATCCCTTCAATCGATTTACAACTACGTGTTTTACGTTAAATTTGCAGGATACGCGAGAGCTTTCCCGCGATTAATAATATTGTAAGCGTTCGTTTTCCCCGAGAAAACCGTCCCGACGCGTGAAAAGCTCTGTATACGAGGATCAACTATGCGACGTGTGACGTTCGTCGACCGGAACGTTTTTAATATTACTGCAACATTAGACAGCGGAAACCCCACACACACATCGGTGCCGTAGCGATGATCGCCTCGCCGCGTACGTTATAAACATCGGTAACGGCGTTTAATGCGCCGCGGTAAGTTGTCAACGCGCCGTCCGGACGCTATCGGCCGCACCGTGAACGCACGCGGAATAGATTTCGGGAAGGGCGCGCACTTATCTACAGGCGGGTACTTCCGTGGGTCCGGTGTACCGGTGGCGAGCGCGCGGGAATTTCTAGACGGGTAGAGCGTCGCGAAAAATATCCGACCTCCGGGTCGCTACAGATCGATTGATCATCGCGACGTTTAAAACCGAAGAGCTTATAGAGTTTAGAGCTTATAGAGCTTTAGAGATTCATGTTTCGGACGAGGTTCGAACCATTCCCCCCCAGCATTTGGGTTCGCCGCTGATATGCACGGCGTGTTGCGGGTACGGAAACTGTTCACATTATCATACGCACGTGTGCGTAAATATTCAACCGCGAAACGAGAGAAACGGAACGGAGAAAATAGCGTTTCGAACGGGAGAGAAAACAAATTAAATAATCTATTGATTTTATGAACGCGGGCAGTGGATTTTCTATGTCTTCGGCCGTGTTAAGGTCGGGTTTTTGTTTTTTAATTATTATTTCATCATACCTGGTCGCCTGGAACGAAGAAGGAAGACGCGCCCGTGCCGCGTTGTGTCTAACGGACGGTCCGCGTTCAAACAAAACCTCGCCCGACGGACACCTCTGAATTTATTATTTTCGCGTGGTCCGAAACGTAAAACCACAATAAAAAAAAAAATATTATTACGGCGCCCGCGTCCGTTATGGCAATAAATTGTACGGTTCACGAAAAGGGTAGAAACGATTTTTGCGCAGTATTCACAGTCACCTTGTCTCGATGAACGTGATCTTACGGTCAATAATTTTTTTGGCCGACGCGACAAATGTTTATTTATAAAATTGAACGTTCCGTGTACACGGCGGCGGCCGATGCCCACGATTTCTCAAAGGTATGCGCGCCTATATAGGCACTCGACACTATAAATCACTTTGCACAATGTGTATGTTTGTACGCGTGTTACGTAGGTACTTTCGGACATTTTTTTTTTTTTTTTTTTCACTTTTGTTTTTAAACGAATTTTAAAGGCGAACACATAACGAAACGACATTCTTCTAATTGCGGCAACACCGAAACACGTGGGCGCCGTTGTCGGTATACGGGGCGATTCAGAGTGGTACGGTACGCATTATTTCACTGTCGTGTATTGTAGTTTCAACAGTTTTATTTGATTTTTAATGTAGATCGACTTCGGCGCGGCCGTTCGCACGTTCGACGGGCAAAATAACAATACGAGACGCCGAAATATCTCGAACAATATAAATTATAAATCCCGGATTTGAAAATATTTACATTAACGTTATTGATAATTCTAATTTTAAATTCAGATTGAAATCGGGCGTGCGAACAACGTGTTATATCCCTTCAAGAGCAGAGAGCATTAAATTTACATTTAATTATTTATTTATTGCGGTCCGAGCCGAATCCCGAAAACATTAGACTAGGCGAACGACATTAAAACTCGGCCTGAAACTGAAATCAAAACCGACAATATACGGTGTAATTGTGTGTACTACCTACCTGTGCCGTGCAGCGGATCCGGGCGTTTTTTCTTTTATTGAATTCAAAAGTCAACCGGATGACTAAACGTTTTCGGGACATCGCACAGAGTTTGCATTTCAACCGCGTAATAACGAAAACGAAAAATTATTCGCGAACACGGACCGCGACCGTTTACCGTTGACGGATGGACGCAAAACGGGCGCGCGCCGACAAATCGATACGGTCCACCGGTCAAATTGATCGCGGCCCGCGTCGACGGACGTGTTCTGTCACCGCGAACAATAATTCCCCCCACCCGACCCGCGCCGCCAAAGGTTCGCGCGATAATCGCGATCTTTCGCGATTTACAATGATAATGTAATTCGGCGGCCAATCAGATCGCGTTTTTCCTCCCCGCTGTCGCCAAAAACGTCGGCCCGCGGCGAAGCGTGTGCGGGGCGAACGTCTCCGCGCTCCGCCGCCCAGTCGCCGTTTTTCCGTCCGTTCATCTCGTTTCCCGCGGCCCGGACCTCGTCGCGAGACATGGTCGCCGGACGGCCGTCGTCCGGTACGGTTCTTTTGCTGAAAAAAACGCTCCCGCGCCGCGCGGGTTCGCATGTTTCGCCATCAAGAAAAGGCCGCGTGCCTTGGCGCGTTTCCGGACGGCGCCTCAAACGAACCGACGGAGTGCGACCCGATCCAGTCCGCCGGGCGTGACGAACGGTAAATACACGTGCGATTTAATAATTGGCCGGTATACCACGATGAGCCAGTCGGTTTTCAAGTTGTCAGTCGAGTTGTGGTCCATCCCCCGTATAAAATATTTGCTCCAGAATGTTTTTTTTTTTTGCTATCTGTCTTTCTCTCGCGTGTCGAAATTCGCGCACGACACGTAAAATACTTCCGTCATACCTACGGCGATCAACTAGCGTCTGTTGGGTCGTATGCGCGTCCGTCCCGTCGTAGTAATTCCCTCCGAATTTTCTTATTGTCCTATTTTTGTTCCGCTTTTGGAGCACCGAGTTTCGCAACCACGTGTGTGCGCGCGCGTATCTAAATAAGAATACATACGTTACATATCGATCGATTTTTAGGTTAACCCGTACGGCCGCCGCGACCACGGACCAGCAGCCAACTTGGAATCGCGCCGTTCGGCTGCCCTACCCGGTCGTAATTCCGTGTGACGCGGCCGCCTCGCATTGCCGCTGGGCCGTCGCGAATTGCGTACCGTGTCCACGAAAATTCCGCGTCGATCTGCACACCCGCGGATGCGGATTCGTCAGTGTCGGTAGCAATTTTCTAACACCGGTTGACGCGCCCCGGTCAATGTATTTATATGCACGTATGTGTGCATTTTGAGTATATGTTGTTCGGATGTGTGTGTGTCGTACCGTTCTATGCGATATATGCAAAAAAAAATCGTGCCCGCCATTCACTTTCACTCGGTCGACGGTTTTTTATGCCCTGTTCTGTCGCGTCGGCGTAACTTTACATTTATCCGGTTGTAAATAAAATAATTCTTTACGTTCCCCGGAACAAAACGTGTGTTTATTTATTTAGATTTTCCCCTTTTCCCTCCTAACAAAAAAAAAAAAAATATCCCAGGACCCCCTTACCCCCCCGGTCTTCGGACCTCGGTTCTTGGTCGGCCGGTCGCTCGGGACGGTTCTCAAAACGAGGCCGACCGAACCGGGGACGTCGAAACTCGAATCGGACCTCGCGACAGCTTTTGATTGACGTTCGCCAGTCGCGACCGGAGCCCGGCGAAAAGTGACTGCGGGCCGCGGAACTTCGAACCTTCAGAGTTGTCTACGTCGACCCGATCCGTCACCGTCCAACGCGTATGACCGGTACTGCGTCTGATCTGACCGTACCCCGTCGATTTTTTTTTTTTCGTGCAAAACTACGTCGGACAGGTAACAGGGAAACGTGAAAAAGCATTCTGGGTGTACCTAGTGGCCCGGCGGTGTCGCTCGTTCGCTCGGGACTGTTTTTCGATCGAAAATAACCCTCGACTTGTTGCGCATAATCACGTCGGGTAGGTAACGGGGAAAAGTGAAAAGCATATTATAGACAGTATTGGATACCCAATACGGTCGCTGTCGACGGTTGTTTTCGATTACAATTGTCCGAGTCGGCGCAGCGAAACACGGCGCGTTCGAACGTCTGTAACTCTAAAAATGGGATAGACTTATTCGGACCTCAATAACAAATTTCTGTTATCAAAATATCAATAACTTCAAAGAGCGATAATAAAAAAAAAAAAATGTCTGTTTTTGACCACGTTTTGAATTCATTATGAAAATGCTATTTTTCGAGGTTTATGTACTATAACTTCAGAAATAAGTCTAATAGGTAATTTTTGATTATACCAATAAATTAAGCGTTAAAAAAACACAAATATTGAAAAGAAAAAAAAACAATCTAAGAAATCGAAAAGTTGCTGAATTAGAATTATACCGTTATTATTGTAATCGAATAATACGAATTACGTTATCATTTAGACTGTATTCACTAAAACAATATTAAATGCACAATTTACTAATAAGTACCCGAAAGGCTAAAAAGCTGACTAGGATAATGGGGACTAGTGCAGACACAATTATAGGTAATTAACTAATGTATATCTGTAAGCAACGATCAAACATTGCTAACGAAAAAAAACGATTTTTAGCGGAGCTTGGTGAATAGTATTGCTTTGCCAACCAAATATATGTCATTAGGGTAAAATAATTACATAACATAAAAATAAATTAGAATATTTTTATCAAACAGTATTGATTAAATATAAGTATCTACTTGAATATTTAATTCCAAGTTTATTATAAGTTTTACTTTAAGGCACCTAGGTACAAAAAAAGTTGAGCGTAATGTACATAATAATGTAATGTACGTGATGTAATCTACATAGTAGTTTTTTTTTTTAAATTATTTAATCGTTTTTACATTAAATGTTGATGAATATTGGTAATTTTACTTCAAAACATATATAAGTAGTATAACAGAATTTCACTCAGAAGACCTATTTTAAAATATTAAAAGATATTTATTTATTTATTTAATAATAGTAAACGCCATAACAGGTTTTTGATAAGTAGGTACCTACAGAATGATTAGCATTAAGGAATGGGTAAGTATAAAACAAAAGAAAAAACAAATTAATTAAGTATAACTGTATAAGAAAAAAAAGGGTCCCAATTACCTTATATCATGCAGCGACTGAGTGATTGATTTTTATCATAATTAGAATGAGACAGTGATATGTGAAATGTGATAGAATAGTGAGTGGGGTGAGAAGGTAGGTTCTTTAAAGGGAATTTGATATAATAGAATAGGATAATCAATTTTGCCATTGAGTAAATTTAAAATTAGTCAAATTAGCTGCATGTCTATAGTCTGTAAAAAAATCTAATTTTAAATGGTATAAAAAGGTGAGTAAACATGAGGAGGACAGTCAATATCGAGTAAGTATATAATTGATAAATATTAGGAATTTACATTGAACTCTTTCAAATTGACTAGAAGATTGAGCTATAATAGGATCTCAGAAAACTAAGTAATACTCCAATATAGGCATGAAAAAAGTGCAGTACAAGGCCTTAAAATATTAAACTCACTTGTAACATCCATGATAAAACCTAAGATTTTTAATGCCTCACAACAAGCAATATCAATGTATAAATTAAAATTGAAACCTAAATCACAGACTAAATTATTAATAAATGAAATAGATTTATTATTAATAAAGTACCCTACTTATGTAAATTGTGCCGGTTTTTTTTGTATATAGATGAAAGACAATGAATGCCATATAGAAACATTAAAAGAAAAACCTAGTCTCAGCTCAGGCCACTAGATCTAAAGTGATCTAGATCTTAATCTAAAAGAATATTTTTATATTATCTGCGAATACTATTAGTTTGGAATCACGCAAACTCAGTTAGCACTGTTAATAAATTGTAAAGCAGAGAGGATAAATATGACTCTCTTGAGGTACACCTAAACACATATATGCAGGAGGGAATAAAACAATGCATTTTTACACATTTCTTTATATTTGTAATAAATGAGGTAATCCATGACAAAAAGGGTTCACATAAGCCTGTTCGAGCAAAAACACTCATTAAGACATTCAGTAAAAGCTTAAGTGAAATCTTTATAGATAATGTCAAATTTGGAATGAACATTAAGTTTTAAATAATATAAAGTTACAGAGAGTGCCATTACAAGTAGTAGTTGATTGTCTAGGGCAAAAACCATGTTGCTAAGGTTTCTCTAGTTTTGATAAAAGCCAGAAATAATATATTGACTAGATAGATTGTTTAGTTAAGATTAATTTAGCTTATTTAGAAGTGAGTATTGATTGCAGTTTTTTGAGTGATGACTTTTTTTTTTGTTTTACACCGACAGTAGTGATGGATCTGTTTTCACAATATTGCTATTGTTTATTAATAAATATAATTAAGCATAATGTTAAAATCCTGCTTTCCCCTTCGCGGGGACCCCCCCATTGAGGTAAGAGATTGCAAGATATACTTATTCATTATTTTTAGGAATAGTTAATAAACAGTTATATTTTCGAAGATTTAGTTTACAGATTTTTCTTATAATATAATAATAAGCAATAAAAAAATAATAAACACTTCAAAAATAGTTTTTGTTAAGAATTACCACAATTAACGGTTTGTGAGATATCAATAAATTTTATATTATTACTACGCACAACACGCACTACAGAGCATATCTAGATAATCATCCATGATTACGGTTGCTTTAATACTTTATTAGCTTGTGAGTCTAATTTCAGTAAGTTATGATGACAAAAATTTCAAACATTACAAAAGTAAGTGTTCATTCTGTGCTCCATTGTGTGTATTAGGGACGGTAAGTATATTACATTTGTTGATATTACAAAAACTGTTCATGGTGGTAATTAATTTTTAACAGAACAAATTTTCGTAAGTAGTTTATTTTATATAAACGATCTTTGAAAACAAATCATGAATAAGTATACCTTTGATGCATAAAAAAAGACCTTCTGACTGCTAGGGCTGTTAATTCAATTCGACATCACTATTAGGCCATTTGATTATTTTATATTATAATAATGTTATAGAACCAGTCATCAAAAAGTCATGGCTTACATACTTGAGATTTGTTTTATTTTTGACAGTAATTTTACAGAAAAGCTTCAAGAATTATTTACAATATTATTTAATCGATTTAGGACCATTTGTTTGAAATATTTTTATGACAGTCAGACTGTTTAATTTCAATCATTTTGAGTATAATAGATGAATAAATTTTGTAATATAACAAAAGTTAATTGGAAAAAATATCACCTTTGTTTATTAAAACAATTTAATATATAAAATAGCATTCATTAAAAATAAAATGATTATTTTAATCGACAGAATCTTAATAACAAGGAACATAAATAAATTCTAATATTATTATATTGTAAAAATAAATTTAAATATCACTCAAACTAGTACAGGCCCACGTTCTTTCAATTGGTCTTTAAGATTTTGTAAAGATATATTATTTTCTATGTTGTTATTTAATTCTTCATTTACATCTAAAAGTTCTCTAATTACTGTTTTTACTCGTTTTATATCATCTGGCTCGTTTTTGGCAGATATTTTTAAAATTTTATCAAATTTAATGGCTTTTGACGATTTTATTTCATCTGGATATGACGAAATAGCATCTGAAAATAATTTATTTTATATGAAAATTTTAGTAATATTTAACTGCTTAACATTAAATACAAGATAAAATGTCTACCATCTAAATTTTCTAATTGGTCTTTAATTTCTAAATATTTTTCTTTAGCGCCTTCAGTGTCCATTTTGTTAATCACTAATAGAGCAGGTTTGTCTAGAAGTTCTTTTTTGTATAATTCAAGTTCCTATAAAATAAATAGTTGTATCAATAGTTAATGTTTTTATCAGATTACTTTATAATAATACAATACTTCAAGAAGAAAAAAACAAACTTTATTTAGTAAGACCACTGTATCCAAACAAGATCGAAACTTATACTTAGGGCTTAATTGAAAACCAGTTATATCAACAACAAAAACAAGTAATTTTGTTCTTTCTACGTGTCTGAGAAATCGATGACCCATTCCAATATTACAATGAGCACCTTCTACGAGTCCCGGTAAGTCTGCCATTGATATTTGTCGTAAATCATCATATAACATAACACCAATATTTGGTCTAATGGTCGTAACTGTAATTTTGTCAAATAATTACTATACAACAAAATTTACTTTTGTTAGACCATCACTAACATGGATATGATGCGATTTTGGGCTTGGCATTAGAAATAGCTTTTAGTAATGTTGATTTTCCAGCGTTAGGAAATCCGACAAGACCAATATCGGCAATTAACTTAAGTTCAAGTTTGACAGATCGACTTTCTCCTTTAACACCACAATATCCGTTTGTCTTATTTCCACCTGATCCTCCTTTGGCCACAAGCAATTCAGAATTTGCCTCATTCAAATCACCTGTAAATAGTTTGATGTTAAAAGTTTTAATAAATAGTTAAGTTATATTAAAGAGTTAAGGATATTGCACTTACTATGAAATATTTATCAAAAGCTTGACAATAATTTAGATACTCCCTGTGGTTTGATTAAAAATTTAAACATATATGAGGATAATAGTTAATGATAATATCAAGTTTACTTTGTATCATTTGAATCACATTTTGTATTAAATTAGGTACCATGGAGAATTGACAAATTTATTTTATACAAAAGTAATAGTTTTATTTTCATAAATTCTTAAATCCTACGAAATTGAACTACTGTATTACAAATTTTATCAGATATCTATCTATGTTCATAAACATTGTAATAATAGCCATACCCCTTCTTTTTAAATAGGTATGGGCAATAGGTAAATGGTGTCTAGTCTACTACCTATTCTTATTATTAAAAGGTAAACAAATTTTTTTCAAATCTTATAAAATTGAAGAAAATGTAGAATACTGAGTGTACTCTCATTAAAATCAACTATAATAAATAATAACAATAACGGTAATGACAAACATCTATTATTTTAATTATTTTTTATTTTTGATGAGAAAATGTATAATAGTGAATATAGCATTAGAACTACTGATGTAACTGAAATAAAGGAAAGATGGCATTTATCATGTTAGGCATTATAATAGGCAAACCTTTTTTTTATTGCTGAACATAGATTATAAAAAATAGATAGACCGTTCCTATATTAGACTTGTACACATTTTTGTATTCTAATTTGTACAAATAATCTTATCAGTATATAGAAAAAACAACTAATTACAGTAAAATTATTATTATTTTTAATAAATCAGCAATTTATATCCTACCATATATTTACCAACTGGGTCCTAACAAAAAACTAATCAAGATGTTTTGTAACATTGATATATTATAGAATGATTAGAATGTCTCATATAAATCTGATAAATACAATATCTTTTATTCTGTTCAATATTTGTATGATTTTTTCTTTTTATTTTTTGGAATAATTATTCGAGTCTTTCGTTATGATTCTTATATATATTTTTTAAATCTAAAAAGAAAAGACATTTTCTTAGTAAAATCTAAGATAGTAATTTAATTCATGTTAGTATAACAAATGTTTAATAAATATTCACTAAATTCCTGAACATTTTTGAAGTTTACAATAATTTAAATTGTTTTCATGGTTACTAATGAATCATACCAACAGATTTATCAATGTTTCCATAAAAAAGTACTCATAGTATAATACAATAATATTCGTTATTATATTTAAATTATTAGTTAGTTAAGGAAATAAAAAAAAATTACAGAATATTACCGACACATTAGTTAATATTTATAATGCCAACATTTATCTTGGATTATGTACAAACATATTTAAATAGATAGAAATTATGTATTTTCAGTTCAAAACAAATATAAAATATAATAGGTAATCATGGCATAAAAATTATTAGAAAACAAAAAATAATAAACGTAAAAATAGTTATTGAACAGAACAACAGTTATTCCATTTGTCAGATTTCTATGTGATACATTAAGTACAAAATTAAAGAAATTACTTGCCGATTAAAACATTTTGATCGTCGTAAACAGTGATTCCTACGGGTACGTTAACTTTTTTATCTTCTCCAATTGGACCCAGTATACATCTGGAATGACTATTGCCACCCATTTCGGCGCGTATTCTTTTCTGTGGACATTTTCTTAAAAAATCTTTCAATGTCATATCTAATAAATTGAAAATACAATAAATAGCCGAAAATCCACTAGCCAAATAATGTAAATAAAAATACATCACAATTTACCTTCTGTAGCGACCAAACATACGTCTCCTCCTTTGCCACCTTCGCCCCCATATTTGGGAAAACCAAAACCACCGGCTCCACCTCTCACGTGAACCCTCAGAGAATCCAGAAATTTTGAATTTTGTTTGAGATGATTACGAATTGGCTGAAAAAAATGTATCGTAAGTACAAGTTGATGTAGGTGTTATAAAACATTACTTTTCCATTTTTCTTCGACACACTGTATTGACGAACGATTGTTTGGATTAATATTTTTTTTAGAAAATGATTCATCGTAGTGTTTAACATAATAATTATTAGTACCTAATTCAACACAAGAATACCGTCGCGTTAATCATTTCACCGGTAAAATTAAATGTAGACATAATTTGTAATGAAAATAATTTGAAACTTATAAAGATTATGATGAAGAATTGAAACGTGATAAGGCTTACCGACAGTGTTGATAACAGTGACCACGTGTGTGGTTATAGTGATTATACAGTGTGCTGACTATCGGAACATTTAATCCGCTGTGTTATAATTTAACCGCTAGATGTCACGTGATATATGCCAACAAACTGCAACACGATACCAGAGCATTAAGAGGACGTCGTACCTACCCAAGGTTTAACTTAAGGGGAGTCCTCAACTCGCCGTGTCGTTTCGTTTCGTGTGTTTTGAACACACGTTCCTTTTCGATTGCACGACATAATTTGTGTCCGTCGTTCTACCAACAATCGACATTATCACTCACTATCACTATTAATGTACCATTCAACCAAAAATGCATGATAATTATTATCGCACATATTTCTTAAAATATAATGTCATTATATTATTTTATGAATATTTATTGTTATTTTACCATCAATATTTCACAGTCTCTACACTTTCTTCAGGTTTTTTATTATTAATATTATTTTCTGTTAAAAAAGGCGATGCCATTGAATTATTACCTAAACAGTATCCATTTTATTAATATAGGTAATTTACCTGTATTATACGATTAACTAATAATAATAATAAAAATACCAAAATTATTTTACTTAACTTTAGTTACTAATATCACTGATTTTAGAATATACTATTATGTAAAAATGTTTTCGTGTTGAAATGTTTAATTCGTCTACCACGAAATAAAAACAATGTTAATAGTTGTAAACAGTTTTTAGATAGGTCATTTTTTAAAAAAATAAATATTCCATTGAAAATTTAACTGTAATGTTAAGAAAATTTGGAAGATCCTGTAAATAAGTTGCCTATTATATAACCCTAAAAAATATTTAAAAAAGAAAAGTAAAATGACGAGTAGGGATGGGTCCGTGGGCGTTCTCTTAAACCTCTCACCCAAAATAATTAACAAACATAAATTAAACAAAAATAATTAGAAGTCGGTATTGAAAACTGTCGTCCGAATATCATAATTATTTGCATTGCAGTTTGAGAATAAAATATTTTGTAAAGAACCCCGTAAGTATACAGGATGTACAGGTTGATTTACAACTTGAGACATTTATCAACACCAATAACAAGCTATGTTAAAGGCCGGAGAATGCAATGGTTAAGGACATATTATGAGGAGAGGTGTTGACTGGACAGTTCGCCTTTAGGGTTTATTTATGGAAGCCTCGAGAAAGAATACCTAAAGAAACAAGGATTGTTGTGGTAGACGAGGATTCGGAAAATCTGGAAGTTGAAAACTGGAGCTACCCAGTTTAAGATAGAGACAGTTGATGAATCGTATAGTTAATGGTGACAAACATTCTTATTAGAGAGTAATCGAGCTATTAGAAAAGACATTCGTTAAATAATATTGTCTCTCAAAGTATTGAATTTTATATTCTGAGCAAAGCGAGGAATATGATATTGGTTTTACAATGGTGTTTATTTTTATTATTATTGTATTTTTATAGTGTGTACACAAATTCTACCAGAAATTTTGCTTTGATTTTCAAGTTTAGCACCTATTCTGAAAAAAAAATTCCCTGATTGGTATTTTAGGGAGGTATTTTTTGGATTTTCTACGCAGTTTTCAAAATAATTATGTGAAATCGAGAAAAAACGTAGGAAAAGTGGGAAAATTTACGAAAATAATGCTTTTGTTATTTTTAATTTTGACGAAAATAGTAAGTATTACGATTTTCAAAACGTGTATAATCGAACTTCGCTCAGATTCGTATTTCGTTGGCAATGATTAATCGTTGCATACGAAAATACATTGAATCCGTCTCCAGATCCTACTTTCCTAACTTCTCACCTACAACAATGGCCCACCCATCATGTGAATTATGTCTGTTTTTTTTTGTTTTTTCACTGCAGAAATGCAGAATGATTAAAAGAAACTATACATATTTTGGGAACATCGTATATTTAAAATATCGTATTTGCATTATAGGTGGGTAAACATTTCGTCGGCCTTGGTAATACGTATACTGCAAAAAGTCACGATAAATTATTGTATAATAATATTATGATTTTGTAATACGCTTAATATGCATATAGTCCAGTTGCGTGTTTAGCTTGCTTTTTTTTTTCTGTATGGTACCCTTCGGCCTTTACCGCCTACTTATTATACTTATAATATAGGTACCTATAGCTGTTAAAACGATATTTCACCACGTTCGTATTTTATAATATAATAATATCGCTGTTATTAACACCGAAATGCGCGCGTTTCGAAATCATAAAAAAAAAAAAAACCGTATGGATCCTAAGACCGTTTTTTTCCGCCATTCAGTGATGCGTGTTTAGTGGAAGGTACTTTAGGGAGGTCATTTGACCTCTCCCCCCCTTTTCACACTTTTAATTATAATTTCCCAAATTGGCCTCTAGTCTCAGATTACAAAAATAATATTTTAATAATAATGATATGCAACTACCTCATAAAATTAAAAATATTATTATTATTATTGTACATCACACTACACGTAAGTGTTAAAATTAAAAATTGAAAAATAAGGATACTTAAATATTTTATCACAGCAACAAGAAAATGCATCTCTTTTTTGATTCTGAACGAGAAACGTGTATTGGTATTAGTTTTTACAATGTAATGTGTGCTTTTTTGTAAATAGATTTCTGTCACTCTGTCACCAGAAATATTGTCTCGATCTTGAACTTTAGGATTTGTTTTGCGGCTTTTGCCTAATTCGTGCTATGGGAAGGTGTCATTTTTTGATTTTCCTCGTAGTTAGTTGCGAAAAACGTAGGAAATACGAGACAAATCATACAATAACGGTTTCTGTTATTTTCGATTTTTTTTTTTTCGTAATTGAGCTAAAAATATGATGTTATATTATGCAACATAATGAAACAAATAATTGAAATTGTTTTGAGGGAAAAACAACAAAAGTATGTTATGTATGTTATGTATGCTGATTGAAGTAATAAAAGTCGGGGTAGAATTTAAATAAGAATTTAACCACGTTTTTACGGGTTGAGGATATTTTATAGTTTTGTACGCCCCCTCAGGTTTCCCAAATGACATCAAGGGATGGAACTTTCTATATGCATAAGGTTAGTTTAAAGGATTTGTGTCTTTTAGGGGTTTTAACTTTCGAGCACTACCCTGACCATTTTTTCGAAAATAGTATAATATTATTATTGTTGTATACATTATTTGGATTCATTTTTTGCAAATATTTCTATTATACAAAATAGGCGATGGAGGACAGACACTGTTGCTCACGGGTGTTTTTTTTATTACTCGCTGGTTTTCGAAGATTTTTAGGCTCTGAATTTTTGTTTGAAATCTATGTTGAGATACAATCCCAACATTTGAATTGCGGTCACAAACCACAGTGACGTGTCCAGACATTTTCAATGTAGTGAATAATATTCGTGATTCGTGTTAAACCGTAAAATCTTTTTCGTTAACATCTCAAACGACAGTGCAAATTTAAAACCCGGATATAAACAAGTCAATTTTAATTCAATTAATCAAATTTGTATAATTAAATATACCTGTATATATATGTATAATGTATATACAGTTTCAACTTTCAAGATAAAATGTTTAAATAAATATTAATATCTGTCGTGTTTTTAAGCCGAAGTTTGGGGGGTGAGTGTAGAATCCCTAATCTCCATTAACCCTTTTACGTACGCTGCGTTCGGGGTACCCCTCCCTTCCCCCGGCTACTCTTTTGCGGCGATAGACACACTGAAGGGATCAAAATGCCTGAACTGGTACCAGCCATAATCTACCAAAACGTCCAATAAACTCCGAAGCGCCGATCCAAAATCACGTTAATTCTACGATATCACGGTTTCGGGTCTCGGGAGAACGATTCGTTTACCACGATGCGCGTTTACGTCTCCGCGTTCCGAGGACATGCGCGCCACGGCGGAAGACATGCCGTCGCGACGGTGTCCTCGGTGCCGGTTACGCCGCAACGCTGCCGTTAGTACTCGTTCGCGTACCCTACGGACAGACACGCGCGCGACCGTCCGAATCGCGACATGCAACCCACGTGCCTCACCGTGTCGCTTCTCGTTAATCCGCTGGCACGGCGCCCCGAAGTGAGTATAATATAATAAATATTATACGTACCGGTCGTATTCGAAGTACACTTAATATCATTATAGACGAACACGGTGAATTTCGGATTTGTTTTTTTTTTTTTTTCACTTCTGTCCGCGAACGACTTTTCCACAGGAAATCTTAAGTCCGTACGAAAAATGCTACCGGCGAAATATTCGCGCTGTTCCCGCGAAGCGATTTTCGTCCGTCAATACGGCCGTGTCACATTCCCTCCTAAACGGGTATTGGGCTACCGATAGATTAGTTTCTATAAAGTCTTTATCTTCCTGGCAGTAATTAAAACGTCAAAAAATAAATCCGATCGGAAGATGAGATATTTTTGTGACGAAAAACTCGACAAAGTTTAAGAGGTACCTACAAATAATACTTATAATGTTATAAACTATTGGTCAGACGGCGATCCCGCGTCTTTATATAAATAGATTTTTTCCGAATTTAAAAAACGTCGCGCGGTTATCTACAGTCTCAGAAACTGTAATGTAAAATCATCAAAGATTGCTATTATTAAATGTTTTAAGAAAAAAAAAAAAACATAACAGTTTTTTTTCCTCGTCTCACGTAAGCTTATAGTTCGTGTCGGCGGAAGTAGGTAAAACATACATAAGTCGAATAAATCGAATTAAACTGAAAATACAGTTATTAAAAATATCAACAAGGAATGCACAAAGACAAATAACACATAAATTATGGAGTATAAACTAAGCAAGGTGTACAATATTTAATTTTTTTTTTCTTGCATTATATAATATGCATTGAAAAAATTGTTCGGTTTTGCGCGTCGTGAATTTCGACAAAACTATGTAACGCGGTATTGAGTACATTGGTTAGGTTACATATTTAATTTCATAACAATGATTTCGGAAATCTATA